TCTTGGAGGCCCTTCAAGGCGGCCCAAGATGCCAACCTCGTCAGAATCATTCTGTTTTTGTTGTTGTTGTTTGCTTTGTTTTTGTTTAGAAAGCGGTCTTAGCATTTATACCGCCTTCTCCGTCATCAGAGCGTCGAGGACGGCCCGATATGCGGTCAAGATCACTGACCAACTGCCCAAGAGCCCACAAGAGGGGGAACACGAACTGATATTTCGAGAACTCCGCCTCAAGATGGACCCAAGATCCCTCCAGAGGCCCCCAAGGTGCCCCCAAGATGCCCCGAGAGGCCCAAATCAGGCCCCAAGAGGCCCCGAGACACCCCAAGGCGACCCCCATACCGCCTCCAAGAGGCTTCCGAGAGGCCTCCCAAGAACTCCTCACAGGCATCCAAAAGGCCTCTGACCTACAACCCCTACACGGTGGCGGGATGCGCCGAAAGCCACTAGATCCGCCGCCCCCTGTTGATTCATCACAGGGGTGCCTGGCGTGCTAGATGATTTCGGTTTTGGTTTGGGTTCTTCTCCAAAAGAGCTCCCCCTGGGGCTCTGGCGCGTCCCGTCGGGGTCCCGGGAAGGATCTCAAAACGCATACGTCGATGCCTTTGTTGCCCCACGTTGGCCCAAGATGGCCTCCAAGACGGCCAAGATGGTCTCCAAGTTCGCCCAAGATGGTCCAAGATGGCCTCCAAGACGGCCCAGGAGGGTCCAAGATGCCTTCTAAATCGTCCAAGAAGCCTCAAAACGGGCCAAGATGGCTCCAAGATGGCCTCAAGATGGCCCAAGAGGGTGCCAAGGGGTCTCCCAGGAGAGCCCTAAGAGGCCAACATCATTGATTTTCCATTTGTTTTTCACTGATTTTGACATCTGCTTCTTTTAAGCCTTCCCGCTGTCCAAGACGGCCCAAGAGGCCCCCAAGATCGCCCCCAGAGCACCCAAGATGCCTCCAAGATGGCCCCAGGACGGCCCAAAGACGGCCCAAGAGGCTTCCAAGACGCCCAAGACGGCCTCCCAGACGGCCAAGATGGTCCCAAGAAAGCCTAAGATGGCTCCAAGATGTCTCCAAGACAGCCCAAGATGCACCCAAGACGGCCCAAAATAGCCTCAAGATGGCCCTAGACGGTTCCAATGGCTCCCAAGAGATCGCCAAAACGTCCCAAGAGAGGTCCAAGAGGCCCCTCAAGAGGTCCCGAGGAGGCCAAATTCATAGATTTTCCTTACGGATTTTGGAGTCCGCTGTTTTTCGGCTTTCCGACGGCCCAAGGCGGTCCAAGAGGCCAGGAAGATCGCCCCAAGAGCGCCCAAGAGGCTTCCAAGATGGCCCCAGGACGGCCCAAGAGGCCCCCAAGACGGCCCGAAGACGGCCCCAGAGGTCTCCAAGACGCCCAAGAGGCCTTCAAGACGGCCAAGATGGCCCCAAGACAACTCAATATTGCCTCAAGATGTTTTCAAAACGGCCCAATATGCACCCAAGACGGCCCAATATTGCATCAAGAAGGCCCAAGACGGCCCCCAAGAGGCCGCCAAAACGTCCCAAGAGAGGTCCGCAAGATGCCATTTTTTTTTTTTTTTTTTTTTTTTTTTTATATATATATATATATATATATATATATATATATATAATGTGCTTGAATGATTTTGGAACTTGTTTCCTTTCGGTCTTCCGACGGCCCAAGACGATCCAAGGGACCATCAAGATCACCCCAAGAGCGCCCAGGAGGCCTCCAAGATGGTCCCAAGACGGCCCAAGAGGTCCCCAAGACGGCCCCCAAGAAGCCCAAAGACGGCCCAAGAGGCCTCCAAGACACCCAAGATAGCCTCCAAGACAGCCCTGAAGCGCCCAAAGAGGGCCCCAAATCGGTTCAGAGAAGCCTCCAAGACGGCTTCCGACGGCGTCAGAAGGGCCAGGAACGCCTAAGGTGGCCAAAGAGGCACCCAAGAAGCACCCGAAGGCCCCTAAGAGGCCCCCAAGAGGCCCCGAGAGAGCCCAAGACGACCCCAATATGGCCTCCAAGACGGCCCCAGGATGACTCCAAGACCACCAAGATGGCCCAATCGAGCCGAAGAGTGCCTCAAGAGGCTCCGAAGAAGCCTCCTCCCCCTTCTCTTTTTGCATGATTCTCCTCCTCTTCCCCTTCCTCGACCACGTGTTCCGCGAAGGCTTTCCAAATAAACTCGGGGAGCGCATGGTCCGATAGTTTGGTTAAGCTCTAACCCAACTTTCGGCCACATAGAAGCTTCCGCAAAGGCAGGGTTGGACTCTGCTGCTGTTCGGTCCTCTGATGGCCCAAGACGGTCCAAGAGGCAATCAAGATCGCCCCAAGAGCGCCCAAGAGGCTTCCAAGATGGTCCCAGGACGGCCCAAGAGGTCCCCAAGACGGCCCCAAGGGAGCCCCAAAACGACCCAATAGGCCTCCAAGACGCCCAATATGGCTTCCAAGACAGCCCTGAAACGCCCCAAGAAGGCCCCAAGTCGGTTCAGAGAAGCCCCCACAACGGCTCCCGACGGCGTTAGAAGGGCCAGGAACGCCTAAGACGGCCAAAGAGGCCCCCACGAGTCGCCCAAAGGCCCCCCAAAAGCCCCAAGAGAGCCCAAGATTGGCCTCCAAGACGGCCCCAGGATGCCTCTAAGACCGACAAGATGGCACAATCGAGCCCAAGAGTGCTTCAAGAGGCTCCGAAGAGGCCTCCCCCCTTCTCTGTGTTCCTCCTTCTCCCCCCCTTCCCCTTCCTCGACCACGTGTTCCCCGAAGGCTTTCCAAACAAACTCGGCGAACGCATGGTCCGATAGTTTGGCTAAGCTCTAACCCAACTTTCGGCCACAAAACGGCCAAGGCCTCCAAGACGGCACCAAGACGGCCCCAAGATGGCCGAAATGGCCTCCAAGACGCCCAAGATGGCCTCCACGCGCCCCCGTCTTTCGCCATTCCGACGGCTCAAGGCGGCCCAAGAGGCCTCTTCCTGTTCCTCATCATGTTCATTCTCCCCCACGTGTTCCCCGAAAGCTTTCCAAACCACTTCGGGGAACATATGGTCCGATAGCTTGGCAGGCCTCTGGCCACAACGTTCGGCCACATAGGCGCTTCCGAAAGGGCAGGGGGCGGCGGTGATTCGTCGTAGGCGTCTTCGATCCGCCGCCCCCTGTTGGCTTGCCACAAAGGTGCCTGATATGCTAGATCCTACAACTCTTGGTTTCGGCTTTTTTCCACAAGAACTCCCTCTGGGGCTTCGGCCGATCCCGCGGGCCACCCGGAAGGCGCCCAACCGAGCACAACGTCTGGAAAAACATCTCCAAGACGGCTCAAGATGGCTTCTAATATGGTAACGTTGGCCCAAGATGGCCTCCAGGATGGCCCAAGATGGTCCAGGTTGCCTTTAAGTCCGCCGACGAAGCCAATAAGACGGCCCAAGATGGCTCCAAGATGCCTCCGAGTCCGCCCAAGAAGCCTCCAAGATGGCCCACGACGGCCCCAGAGATCCCCAAGACGCACCCAAGACGTCCTCCAGGAGGGCCCGAGGAGGCCCAAACCATTGGTTGTCCTTAGGTTTTTGAAGGGTTTTGGCATTTGCTTCTTGTCGGCCTCCCGGCAGACCAAGACGGCCCAAGAGGCCTCCAAGATGGCCCCAGAACGGCCCAAGAGGCTCCCAAGACGGCCTCAAGAGGGCCCCAAGACGGCCCAAGAGGCCTCCAAGACGCCGAAGATGGCCTGCCAGACGGCCCTGAAGCACCCCAAGAGGGCCCCAAGTCGGTCGAGAGAGGCCGCCCAAACGGCTTCCGACGACGTCAGAAGGGCCAGGAATGCCCTAAGACTGCCAAAGAGGCCCCCGAGAAGCCCACAAAGCCCCGCAAGAAGCCCAAGGAGGCCCCCGAGATGCCTTCAAGAGGCCTTTAGGAAGCTCCCAGGAGGCCCCAAGAGTGCCCCCAGAAGCTTCCAAGATGCCCACTCCTCCTCCTTCTCCTCCTCCTCCTCCTCCTCCTCCTACTTCTTCTCCTCCTTATCTTCCCCGCCATCCTCCCCCAAGTGGTCCCCGAAGGGTTTCCACAACGGCTGAGGGAACACATGGTCCGATAGCTTGGCAGAACTGTGGCCACAACATTCGGCCACATCGGCGCTTCCAAAAAGGCAGGGGGCGGCGGTGATTCGCCGTAGGCGTCTTCGATAGAGGTAGTAATACCAATCGCACGATCGCTACATCTGCCAGTGTTTCTTAAACTTGCCACAACTTGCTGACTACTAGGGCTGCTGCTACTCCTGGTGTTACCTCTACCACTGCGACGGCGACTTCTTCTTGCACTGATAGTGCTTACGCTCTTGATCCTGCTGCTGCGGCTGATACTACCATTTGTGCAAACCATGCAACTGATGCTACTACGGCTATTGCTGATACAACAAGACTTACTGCTGCCGCAACTGCTGCTGCTGCTGCTCCTGGGCAGTCAGCCCCGAGTGCTTGCGCTGAGAAAGCATTCGACACCACGCGCGGAAGCTCGCCCATCTCCTTCCTTGAAAGAGGGCAGCGCTGGTGCGGGTTGGGCGCCTGTACTGAACAGACACCATGCGATCCGCGCAAGCAAGCGCTCCTCTGCGTAAAAACAAAGCACACGAACTCCGCCCTGCACCCCGCAGGCGACAAGAAAGCGCGCCCCCTTGGCAGCCCGCCCCCCGGGCCGCCCCGGTTCCTCGACCCACGCTGGAAGCAGCGGGCGAGCCCCTCGGTGGCAGATGCGGAGGACATTGCGAATGCTGATCCATCTTTGTCGGGAGCGGCCAAGAGGGGGGTGTCCAAGAGGGGGGGGTGCAAATCATGACCGGCGGCATGTGCGCGGCCCAGCGGGGGGGCCAGGGACGTAATGATGTTAGAAGAGGCGCCATGAAATCTGGGGAAATATCATGGCCCACGCCATGGTATCCACCCCCCCCTAGTCATCACCCCCCTCTTTTCCGGCCCCGACTTTGGACACACAATATTCAAAGCCCTGTTCGAGCGAAGGCCGACGCTTCTCACAGCATGCCCTCCGGCTCGTGCTCCTGGGCGGCGCGCGTGGCCATCGCTGGCGCCCCCCCCCCCCCCCCTCCTGCACGCGCAGGGCCACCGAAGGTGGAGTGCCGGGGGAGATCTGGCAGAATCCCATGGGAGGAGGAGGAGGAGAGGAGAGGAGGGAGGAGGAGGAGGAGGAGGAGGAGGAGGAACATCTAATTCTGTGCTCCGACCCCACGTCCGTAAGGAAACGGCAATAGCGATAAGGACTACTGCCACGGCTATGAGCACATGAGCAACACGGCGGCAGCCACGGTGACACAGGGCTTCAAAACAGGCCGTGGCTTGACTTTCTCGCCCGCAGCATCGTTCGACGTTTCATAGCACCCATGACGGGAGTACACCTAGAACAGCTATGCTATGCAGTGGGTCCACGGTCATACAGGGCTCCAGAACCCGCCTCACACCCATAGGGCAACTCTATGCCAGTGGGACCGCGATAAAACAAGTCTCCCAAACCCTCTGCGGCTTTCTCATCAACACATGCTACCGTAGCATCAGAGGATCAGCTGGGTGGGACCACCTACTTCTGAAAGACCAGTGGGTAGTGCTCTCTCATGCACCTCCGTGGTGGTGGTGGCCTTAGTCACAAGCACTGCTAGGCCCCAGAAGCGACAGCACGAAGAGCCGATTTCCCACTTGGTCCTGAGAGGTTTCCCAACTGCCTGCTCCCACTGTCGACTGGGGCCTAGATGCCGACTGGGCGAAGGGAGGGGGATGAGTGGAGGTACAAGGCACGGGGGAGGAATGGGAAGAGGAGGAGGAGGAGGAGGAGGAGGAGGAGGAGGAGGAGGAGGAGGAGGAGGAGGAGGAACGAGAACGAGGAGGAGAACCAATTTCTCACTCCCTCCAGGCTCCACCTGCCTTTCACTGCCTCCCTCGTCAGTCACCCCACTAACCTTCTCCTCTCTACCATTGTGGTGGCGGGATTGGGGGAGGGTACAACGGGTGGGAGGGGCAAACTCACCAACGGCCGTCCTTTCTGCCCGCACCTCTGCGCATCAGCCTTTCCATGCCATTTGCCACTCTCTTCGCTCGCTTGCTGACTTTGCAGCCGCACCAGCAGGTAGCCTCAACTCTCTCTGTCTCGCCTCCAGCCGCGCGAACTTCAGCTTCGCGCAGCCCTTGCCTCCCTACCGCCCGCCAACCGCTGACGGGGACGGGTGTGGTAAAGAACACGGGGGTCTTGGGGCCAACGGAACAAACTTCCGTGCGGCCACCGCCGTGGAGGGCGCGAACCTCTCCCGCGCCTGGCGGAACAAAAACCCTCCGGCGACCCCCAGGCCCGCTCTCGGGGACCCTTCGCCTGTCTCGGCGGGGGTGCGGGCCCCCTTGGCGGGACTGTGGGCCACTTGGTGGGGGGCCTTGTGGGTGGGGGGGGAGGAGGCCCTTGCGCCTTCCCGCCTCCGGGCGAGCGTGGGCTGCCACGCCCTCTGCCGCTCTCGCGCCGCCATGCCGCAAACCTGGCATCGCACTCTCCTCTCGACTCTCGCCCACCTCTTCGCGTGTCCCAGCTCTTCTGCGCACGTGAGGCCGCAAGCCATTACTTTTATAGAAGGAAAAACGACGGCATAAACACAACCTTTTGGCGATCTGCGCGGATTTCTTGGACCCGCGCTGGACCCCCCTCCCTGGCGCGCGGAGCGCGCCAAGGGGCCTCCGCCGCTAGGGGGGGCCCAGCGCGGATCCAAGACATCCGCGCGGAGCGCCAGAAGTTTACGCTTCCGGCGCTTTCTCTTCCTCGGTTCTCCTCCCAGCCTCGCAGTGTTTGTTGCACATTGGGGAGCAGTTGGTGCTTACAGTCGGAGCGTTGACCCAAGGAACCCTAAATAAGGAACGAGGCCCCTTTTGTCCATCAGTTCACCTTCGACTTCCGGTCGAAAACAGGAGGCAAGCCTGAGGCAAGCTGTGAAGCAATCAAGGAACACCGAGCCCCTCCCCAACGAAAAGGGTTCCTTCTTCAGTCGGGAGCGGCCAAGAGGGGGGTGTCCAAGAGGGGGGGGGTGCAAATCATGACCGGCGGCATGTGCGCGGCCCAGCGGGGGGGCCAGGGACGCAATGAAACAAGCAGGGGCGCCATGAAATCTGGGGAAATATCGTGGCCCGCGCCATGACATCCACCCCCCCCCAGTCATCACCCCCCTCTTTTCCGCTCCCGATTCAGGGCCCCGACTGTGCCTCGGACAGGAGGCGGCAGGAAGAGCTTCCACCGCTCCAGAGGGCCACCGCCGCAGGAAGAAAGACTGGTCTACCCTGTAAGAACGGTTTTTTGAAGGCAGATCTGCCTTCAAAAAACCGTTCTTACAGCGTAGACCCGACTGTGCCTCGGACAGGAGGCGGCAGGAAGCACTTCCGCCGCTCCAGAGGGCCACCGCCGCAGGCCGGTGGGCACCCCAGGGCGGCTTCGCCGGCCCGCCCTCCGCGCACCCCTCCGCCGCCGCGCCTTTTGGCGGGCGAGGGCCCCCAGGCGGTGGCCCGCGGGGGCAGTCCCGCCGGGCATGCCCTCGCGCGTCCGACGGGGAGCGGCCCCTGGGCCGTCCCGCTCTTGGCGCGCGCGTGGCCCCGTCTGCGCCGCTGCACCCGCCGCCGCCCCCCCCCTGCCTCCCACCGGCCGCCGCAGCAGCCGCCACCCGCCTGGCTCCCTGAGCCCTTCCCTCTCCCCCTCCTTCCAGGTTCGTGGCTTTCCTCGTCGTCGCCGCTCCTGCGTTCCTCTCCTTCCCTCTCCCCCCCAGGGCGCGGGGGGACGTGGATAACCCCCGCCCCTGAGGGGTCTGTCTCTCAGCTTCTCTCCCTGGGGGGGTCTGTCAGTTCGCCTCTCTCCTTGTTCGCCTCTCCCCCAAGGGCAGTTGCCCCTGAGGAAGGGGGCATGGCGGCGTTTGTACGATCCGAGCGCCAGTAGTTCACAGTTCATGGGAGTGGGAGGGAGGAGGAGGAGGAGGAGGAGGAGGAGGAGGAGGAGGAGGAGGAGGAGGAGGAGGAGGAGGAGGAGGAGGAGGAGGAGGAGGAGGAGGAGGAGGAGGAGGAGGAGGAAAAGGAGGAGGATGAGGAGGAGGATGAGGAGGAGGAGGAGGAGGAGGAGGAGGAGGAGGAGGAGGACCAGTGTAAACCCAAAAGTCATCAACGGTGTTGGAATCACCCCTCCCTCCAAGCTCCCTCTTCATAAGCCCCTACACCGATTCATTTTCACTGCGGGAACTGCCTCGTTGGAAGACAACCGTTTGAAGACCCTGAAGCATGCCAAATCATTATTCTCGGGACTCCAACGCCACAGATGAACCTGACTGTTGCGTCTTGACGATCCTGAATTGTGCTGGAACGCCGTTCCTGGGACTTCAACATCTCGAATCAACGTAACTGTAATATCCTCATAATCACGAATCTATCCCAAAAAACATTTCTGGTACGTTGACCATGGGCATCCGTGAAACTCTTGCAGTCTGTGAAGACAGAAGAATGTGCGCGGTGATAAAGCGAGAACCACATTTTCAAAAGAAAACGCCCTCAATCCATGAAGCTCTTGCACATTTTTAACGCGAATGCGCGCGGCGCGAAGACGTGAGCCACAATTTGAAAAGGAGCCGCCCTCCATCTGTGAAGCTGCTGCCGATGTTTAAGCTTCAGAATCATACATGGTGAGGAAGTCTCAGGCGAAACGCCTGGCCCGCCCTACAGACGAGTCTGGTGTGAGCGGGGGAGGGGTTATCTACAAGAAGAAGGGATGGATGAGAGGAGGAGGAGGAGGAGGAGGAGGAGGAGGAGGAGGAGGAGGAGGAGGAGGAGGAGGAGGAGGAGGAGGAGGAGGAGGAGGAGGAGGAGGTGGAGGAGGAGGAGGACTAGTGTAAACCCAAGGCCCATTAACGATATTGCAATAAACCCTCCCTTCGAGCTCCCTCCTCGTAGGCCCCTACAGCCAGTCATTTTCACTGAAGGAAGTGCCACGTCGGAAGGCAACCGTTTGAAAATCCAGAACTGTGCCAGAAAACCATTCCTGGGCATTCAACGCCGCGAATCACCGCTCTTCCTTTCGTCATCGTCGCTGTCGCCGTTCCCTGGTTTTGCCCTAGGTTCCCTCAAGCGCGCCAGCCAAAGCGAAATAAAACAGCAATATCATACTTGAATGGAAGGGAAGCCCCTTCCCTTTGATCCCTTCCCCGCCTGGGGGGGTGGGGTCCTGGGGGGGACCCGGGGCAACTCCCCGGTCAGAATGCCCCCCGCCCCCCCCCGGCCGTCCAAGTCCCGAAACAAAACCTTAGTTTAGCAGTAGCCACAGATGCGGCGCGAGAAAGGCGTCTGGGCTGGGGCGGCAATGCGCGAGAAGCGTCCTTCTCCTCCTAGTGCTCTTCCTTCCCCCTCCCGCTGCCCGTCCCCCTCCTTCTGCTCGTCCTCGCTCTTGTCGTCATCGTCGTCCCCTCCCAGGGTAGGCGGCACCAGCCGTAAGGCCTTCGCAATCCAGAACTGTGCCAGAACACGATTCCTTGGATTTCAGCGCCACGAATTTCAATTCTTGTTGCGTCTTGTCGATCTTGAACCGTATCAGGACACCATTCCTGGGACTTCAACACCGCGAATGAACGTGATTCTGCACCCTCACATTCCGATATCTTACCAAAACACCATTTCTGGGACGTCAGCCATAATAATCTTTGAAGCGGTTGCAAGCTTTTAAAGCGAATGTGCGCGGCGCTAGGGCGAAAACCACATGTTGGAAAGAAGTCTATCCGTGAAGCTGCTGTCAACTTTTGAAATGAATATGCGCGGCGCTAAGGCGAAGCCACATTTTGAAAACCACCCGCCCTCCATCCGTGAAGCTGCTGCAAGTTTTAAAAACCGGATGTGCGCGGCGCTAAGGTGAGAACCACATGTTGAACACCACTCGCCCTCCATCCGTAAAACCGTTGAAACTTTAAAGACGAATGTGCGCGGCGCGAAGGCGAGAGCCACACTTTGACAACCACCTGAGACAAACGAAGCCAGGACGAGGATAAATTCGGGTGAGGGTAAATCGAGAATCTCTGAGATCAAGCGGCTCTGGCCTTCTCAAAACGTTCCAGAACGTTCTGGGAACGTTCCAGAACGCTCTGGGAACGTTCTGGAACGCTCTGGAACGGATCTATCCTCGTCCTGGCCCTACCCGACCACCCGCCTTCCATCCTTGAGTATCACAGAGTTTAAGCTTAAGGACCATAAATGTTGAGGAGATCTCAAGCGAAACGCCAGCCCTTTCGACTGGTCTCGGGGTGTGGCAAGGAGGAGGTATTCATGAGGGAAAGGGATGGAGGAGGAGGAGGAGGCGGAGGAGGAGGAGGAGATCCCGTCAGCGATCCAGAGATCCAGAAGGCATCCCACGGTGAGGATGCTGCTCGATGTCGTCCTCCTCCTCCGGGCACCTCCCGCTGCGAGCTCTGGCCAGGATCTCGAGGGGTACTCGGCCGTGGCGGTAAGGGTCCCCGCGGAGGCCTAAAATGACACACTACGAGATGATGATGATGATGATGATGATGATGATGATGATGATGATGATGATGAGGAGGAGGAGGAGGAGGAGGAGGAGGAGGAGGATTATGATACTGATGATACTGATGATGATGATGATGATGATGACGAGGCTACTAATCATGATGATGATGTTGTTGCTGTTGGTTATGATATTGATGATGATGACGATGATGATGCTGCTGCTGATGATGATGCTGCTGATGATGATGTTGCTACTGATGTTGATGATGATGCTGATGGGGAGGAAGAGAAGGAATAGGAGGCGGAGGACAATGATGATAAGGAGGAGGACAACGAGAAGGAGGAGGAGACAGAGGAGAACGAGGAGGAAGAAGACGAGGACGAGGAAGGCATCCAGAACGGATGCAAGGGTGACTTCCCGCAATCGCAGACGCGCCGTGAACGCCCGACTGCGCAAGTCCGAGCTGAAGAGGACAGCACATGACCCAAGGACGGCGGGTCTAGGAGGATAGGGAGGAGGAGGAGGCGGAGGAGGAGGAGGAGGAGGAGGAGGAGGAGGAGGAAGAGAATGATAATGATAATGAGGATGAGGATGAGGAGGAGAAGGAGGAGGATGATGATGATGATGATGATGATGTGCTGATGATGACGATGACGATGATGATGAGGATGAGGATGAGGAGGAGGAGGAGAGGAGGAGAGGAGGAGGAGAGGAGGAGGAGGAGGAGGAGGAGGAGAAAGGAGGAGGTTGAGAGGGAGAGGAGGAGGAGGAGGAGGAGAGAGGAGGCGGAGGAGGAGGAGAGGAGGAGGAGGAGGAGGAGGAGGAGGAGGAGGAGGAGAGGAGGAGGAGGAGAGAGGAGGAGGAGGAGGAGGAGGAGGAGGAGGAGGAGGAGAGTAGGAGAGGGGGGAGGAGGAGGAGAGAGGAGGAGGAGGAGGAGGAGGAGGAGGAGAGAGGAGGAGGAGGAGGAGGAGGAGGAGGGCGAGAGGAGGAGGAGGAGGAGGAGGAGGAGGAGGAGGAGGGAGGAGGAGGAGGAGGAGGAGGAGGAGGAGGAGGAGGAGAGGAGGAGAGGAGAGGGGAGGAATATGAGGACGAGGAGAGGAGCAGGAGGAGGAGGAGCGGAGGAGGACGACGAGGAGGAGGAGAGGAGGAGGGAGGAGGAGGAAGAAGGAAGAGGCTCAGACGACGACGACGACAGGGGGAGGAGGAGAAGAGGAAGCGAGGAGGAGGAGAAAGGAGGAGGAGGAAGAAGAGGATGAGGATGATGATGATGATGATGAGGAGGAGGAGGAGGAGGAGGAGGACGACGACGAGGGGGAGGAGGAGGACGACGACGAGGAGGAGGGGAAGGAAGGGATCTCAATATTTACCCGTGCTTGTTGGTTTTCCCGAGCAGTGTCGGCTCATTGCACATCCGTGCCCCCTGCAGAGGGCCGAGGAGCAGCTGGCGGACACGCTCGCCCCCCCCCCCCGACCCCTGAAAGGATGCCCTCATGGCCATGGCTGGCCTCGCCCTAACCGTGTGTTCAGAACTCACCCCAGGATAGGTCAGGAGGAGGAGGAGGAGGAGGAGGAGGAGGAGGAGGAGGAGGAGGAGGACTATAAGTCGCCTTCCCTTCGCCCCCATCACGTGCAGGCGCTGACGCCAGCATTACGCACCGAGGCACGCAACGGGACGGGAGAAACACGCGAATACCAGGCTGCAGTCGGCAAATCAACGCGCGAGACGTTGGGTTGTGGCGCACTGCCTTCGCACCCGTTGCGCATAAAACTATGTGCGTGCGAGCGAATTTATACACATGTTCATATGTATATGTATAAGTTATGCATGTCTGTCTGTCTGTCTGTCTGTCTGTCTGTCTGTCTGTCTGTCTGTCTGTATGTATGTATGTATGTATGTATGTATGTATGTATGTATGCCTGTATTTTATTTATATGTGTATACATGTATATAGCTGCACACCATTTGCGCACGTATATCCGCCACCGTGCCTCCAGCGCGTAGTGAAGTGCCCCAATGCTCATGGAAGTCTGAGAGGCGGATAGAGACTCTGTCATTTCTTAAACGGCCTGGGCAACGAAATTCCTGGACTTGACAAGCGCTCCTGGAGTTTGTCGCGTGATGATGGTGAGAGGGATGTCAGGAGCAGGAGTAGGGGGAATGATAATGCAAGGTAGTCTGAAAGTATTCGGGCCCTCTCGGGGGCTCCTGAATACTTTCGAAGGTTTCTGGAGGGGGCGGGGCGGTGATGGATCCCTTTCCTCTCCTTCTCCTCCTCCTCCTCCTTGCCCTTCTGCTACCCACTCTCATGTGAAGCATGCGCGGAAGTGGGAACGCAAGGCATGCCAATTGAGGGAGGTCGCCGCGCAAGCCGCGACAAAATAAGAACGCAGCGCCTGCCCATCCACGTAGTCGCAGCACAGGTACTGGCCTCGCGCGCTCTGACGATGTGACGCAATGAATTCCACATCCGAGAGATTCTTCTTTCTTCTTCCAAAGCCCCTTTTCCCTTCTGGGAGGGGTACCCTCCCCCCTCCCTGAGGTTTCTTGGGTCCCCCAGCGATGAGGCAGAGGGTCCTTTTTCGCCCAAGATGGCTCCAAGAGGGCCTCCGATGCTCCGAGATGGCCCCCAAGCTGTCCCAAGATAGCCGAAGATGGTTCCAGACGTCTTCCAACATACCTCCAAAAGTCCCCAACAGGATCACACAACGGCTCCAGGTGCTCTCGGAGCCCCCTCAGGACTCCCCCAAGAGGCCAACATGTTTCAAACACCGCGCAAGTCAAATACTCTTGCCGTCTCGCCTTTTCGCTTCCGATGCAAATGCGGCTCCAAGACCGCCCAAGAACGCCCCACGTGCGCCCCAAGAGGTCACCCAGATTCGATTTTGAGAGCTCTCGGGGGGGGGGGCCTGAAGTCAGGAACCCCCTGTTTTGGAAGGACGCCCTCCAAGATTGCCCCCACGAGGCCTCCAGAGCCCCAAGGAGCCCCCGTGGAAGCACCAAGAGAGCCCCCCAAAGAGCTCCAACAAGAACCCGAGACCCAAGAATGCCCCAAAAGGGCCGCGAGGGAGCCCTGCCCCCAGAGGCCCTCAAGAGAGCCTCCGGAAGACCCCAATACGGCTGCCAGAGTCTTCTTCGTTCTCTTCCTCCTTCTCCTCCTCCTCCTCCTCCTCCTCCTCCTCCTTCTCTTCCTCCTCCTCCTCCTCCTCCTCCTCCTCCTCGTCTTCCTCCTCCTCCTCCTCCTCCTCTTCCTCTTCCTCCTCCTCTGCCTCCTCCTCCTCCTCCTCCTCCTCCTTGTCCTTCTCCTTCTCTTCTTCCTCCTCCTTCTTCTTCTCATCCTCCTCCTTCTCCTCCTCCTCGTCCTTCCTCTCCTCCTCCTCCGCCTCCTCCTCCTCCTCCTCCTCCTTCCCCTCCTCCTTCTCCTCCTCCTCCTCCTCCTCCTCGTCCTCTTCATCCTCTTCCCCCTCTTCCTCCTCTTCCTCTCCTCCTCGTCCTCCTCCTCCTCTTCCTCCTCCTCCTTCTCATCCTCCCTTTTCTCCTCCCCCTCGTCCTTCTCCTCCTCCTCCTCCTCCTCTGCCTCCTCCTCCTCCTCCTCCTCCTCGTCCTTATCCTCCTCCTTCTCCTCCTCCTCCTACTCCTCCTCGTCCTCGTCCTCTTCCTCCTCTTCCCACTTTTTCTCTGCCTTCTCCTCCCCCTCCTCGTTCTCATCCTCGTCCTGGGTCTGATCAGGCCGAACCAGAACTTGTTCCGCTTCATGCTTCGACGCTGTCTTTCTCAAGGCAACTCGCCTGAGCACCGTTTCTGGATGGGCTGGTGGGATACGCGAAGCGTCAATCATTCCCCAGTTGGGCTAAACCTTAGGAGTTCTTATGCGTTTGTGAAGAATCCTGTGGGTGCGGGACCTGGTCGCGCTGGGGTCCTCGAGGTTCCCTGGTGTTGTTTCCTTGCAAAGGGGGGGGGGTCCTCGGGGTTCCCTGGCTTGTTTCCTCACAAAGGCCTTGGGTTCCCCTGTCTTGCATCCTTAGAGAAGGTTCCTCGGGTTTACCAATCTTCTTCCTCGGGTTCCACGGTCTTGTACCGTGCTTGGGTTCCTCGGGTTCCCTCGTCTTGCTCCTCGGGCTCCCCGGTCTTGTTTCTTTGCAATCTTGCTCCTCGGATTCCCTGGTCTTGCTTCCTTGCAAGGGGATTCCTCGGGTCCTGCGGCCCTGTTCCCTGCTCGGGTAGTTCCTCGGGCTCCCTGGTCTAAACCCTTGCTTGGGTTCCTCGGCTTCCCCAATCTTGTTCCTCGGGTTCCCCGGCATTGCCCAGCAATGCAAGGTAACGCCGAACACTGCGCCCATGTAGTACGAACCTCTCCCCTCGCTGGGGCCGCGCCGGGCTCATGCAGAGAGAGGCCCGAGGAACGAGACCAGGGAACCCGATGAAGCCAAGCACAGAACCAGGGTGGGGAACCCGAAGAACCCATGCAGAGGACCGGACCGGAGAAGCCGAGGAACTCGGGCAGGGAAGGAGACTGGGGCACCAGAGGAACCCAGGGAAGAGAGAAGACCAAGGGGCTCAAGGAAGGAGACCGGGGAACCCGAGGAGCCCAAGCAAAGAGCAAGACTGATGAACCCGAGGGACCCTGTTGCAAAGAAACAAGACTGGGGAACCGAAACCCCTTGTAGAGCAACAAGACCAGGGAACTCTCGAGGAATCCCTCCGTGAGGACACAAGATTGGGGAACCCCGAGCAACGCCAGGGCCAATTGCTTCTGGCACCCACTGTTTCTTCACAGACAAATGAGAGCCCCGTCGGCAAAGCCTGATTGTGGAACGATGAAGAAGAAAAACTGGTCAGACTTTGTGTATCGGCTCTCCCTACTCTCTCTTCCTCCCTTCCCTCCCTGCTTCGCCCTACCGCCCCGTTTTGCAACGCTTGGAGGACTGCTCCGTCTGCACGCTGGCCATAATCATGAGAGAGACCGAAATCCACTCTCCTACAATCACACGGGGTCATGAAGACAAATAACTTTTCACGGGTGCCCTTGCGTCGTTGCCCCGTCGTCCCGTCCTGAGGACGGGGGTCGGTTACATAAGGTACCCTTGTGCCCTCGGGACTGTTGCTGTGTTCCGCTCGAACAATTCAACTTGGGCGTCCAAAGCCGATGCGTTCTTACCGTGCGTCCGTATCATCTAATTTGACTGTCCTCTCCCTCCGACTCTTCCCTGTCCTGTTCCTCCTGCTCCGCAACTCCACCGTTACGTCGTTGCCATTCTCCGCCTCCCGCTTTCTTCCTTCAACCTCCTTCTTCTTTTACTCCTCCTTTTCCTCCTGTTCCTCCTTCTCCTCCTCCTCCTCCTCCTTCTCTTCCTCAAAATCGGCCCTCTGGACACAACCCAAAGCTCCCTCTGACGAGCGCTCTCTCAAGAGGTGCTATGTTTGGATCTTATCCCGCAGCTTTTCAACGGTCCCCGGTCCCGGCGAGGGCCCCCAGGTTCAAAACGACCACAGACCCACCGTCGTGTTTTTTCCAGGACGCGAGCCTGCCTGGCTCCTCCCCTCCCTCCTCCCTCAGCCCCTCGTCCTTGCAGCTTCTCAGGCAGTGCCCCGCTGTCCAGGAGCGCGCGGTCGGGTGTGCAGGACCTCGGGCCCGCGGCTGACCCGCGCCTTCCCAGGCGCCGTGTTAGGCTAGGGGAACAAAAAGTGTCATAAACATAAAAACTCGGAGGTCCGCGCGGATTTCTCGGATCGGCGCCGGGGCCCCCTGGTGGCGCCTCCGGCGCCGCCCCTGGCGCGCTCCGCGCGCCAGGGAGGGGGGTCCAGCGCCGATCCGAGAAATCCGCGCGGACCTCCGAGTTGTCATGTTTATGCCACTTTTTGTTCCCCCATGGGCGGCATCGGCGAGCCCGCGCCGTCTCGGAGCACGTGCGCGCGGTATGCACCAGAAGCCGGAGGCTGGCGACGCTCCAGGGATCGATCCACTCCGCAGGGGCAGGTGGCAGGGAAAGGCTCGGGACGCGGGTGCTCGGGGACTGGGGCGCGTTGAGCGTTGGAGCAGGGACCGGCCGTCCTGGCATTCCTGTCGGCCAGCCACGAGACCTTCTTATAGAACCAAGAGCACTCTGATGACGTAAAACTCTGCCCTCAGAACAGAAGCACGACGGGCTCGGCCAGACACGCTCCAAGAACGTCTCGTGCAAACCACGGAGCGCTCTCAGAACATCCTCTGCTGGGCCGACGGGCCGGTCCAGACGCCCCGCCACCGCGCTCCGGCGCCCAGCAACCGGGTGGGGGGCGAAGGACTGGGCCGCCCCCGCCCGCGCCCGCGCCGGAAGGCTCGCCGCGAGGGGGTCTCGCGCCCGTGTTCCCCGAGGGCGCCCCGCGGCCGAGGAGGCCGTTTGGTTGTCGGCGGGGGCAGGCGCGCGTCGATGCAGTCCCAATGGTGCCCAACGGTCGGAAGCGTCTGGACGGTTGGGCCGCGGCGCGGTGAGCCAGCACCCGCGGCGCGACGCGCCGGGCACTCGCTCCCGACCCTGGGCGGCCCCGCCGGGGAGCGCGAGGCGGACGCCCCGCGCCGCGGCGTGCCCCCTGCGGGGCACGCCCTGCGCTGCGGCGCCCTGCGCTGCGACGGCCTGCCCGGGCGGGAGGCGCGGGAGAGCTCCTCGGGGGCGCCCGGGCGGGGCGCGAGGGCCCGGGCCCGCCGCGCGCGGGCCCAGACGGGATCGCCGCGCCCAAGAAGCAGGAGGGGGAGGGGGAGGGGAGGGGGGGGGGAGGGGGAGGGGGAGGGGGAGGGGAGGAGGAGGGAGGGAGGAGGAGGAGGAGGAGGAGGAGGAGGAGGAGGAGGAGGAGGAGGAGGAGGAGGAGAGGAGGAGGAGGGGAGGAGGAGGAGGAGGAGGAGGAGGAGGAGGAGGAGGAGGAGGGAGGAGGAGGAGGAGGAGGACAAGCTAGGTGCGCTCGCGTCATATCTGACGTCCTACCCCTCCCTCCCATCCCTTACCATGGCGCTGATTTTCTCTATCCGCGGACGCGTGTCGTAGCGGACCTGTGGCTCCGCGCGCGCGTGCGTAGTGGGTGGTGGTGCGCGTGCGTGCGTGCGTGCGTGCGTGTGTGCGTGGTGCTGGTGGTGGTGGTGGTGGTGGTGGTGGTGGTGGTGGTGGTGGTGGTGGTGCGGCGGCGGCGCGGTGGTGGCGGGCGGATGGGCGCGCGAGAAAGAGGCCCGCGCTGGGGCGAGAACGCCATCCTGAACGACGGAGGCCAAACACCGATCCGAAAATGAGGCCCACGCTGCAGCGGGAGCACGATTCGGAACGGTTCGGGAGCAGAAGTGAGGCCGGCGCCTCAGCGAGAGCAGCATTTTGAAAAAAACGCAGGCGAAAACCCGTTTCCCAGGAATCCTGTGTGTAAAAAACAGTACGCGAAGGGGGGTCGGCCATCTTCGGGACGCCATCAGGGGAAGTGGGAGAGTATTTTCATATTGTGTAATTGTGGAGGAGGAGGAGGAGGAGGGGAGGAGGAGGAGGAGGAGGAGGAGGAGGAGGAGGAGGAGGAGGAGGGCAGGACGGTTTTTTTGGGGGGGTCACGTCTCTCCTCGGGGGGCCTCCGCCGCGCCCGCGCGCTGCCGCGCCGCAGCCCCGCGCCGCAGCGCAGCGCTGCGGCTCCAGCCTCCCAGGGCGGCGCGCAACCAGCGCCGCGCAGCGGAGGGGCCTGGGCCGCTCTCGCCTCGCCCTCGTCTTCCGCCGCCTCCCGAGGCAGTAGGGAGGGTCCGGGCAAGATGCGGGCACGTCGTCGGAGCGCCTCCGAGAACGCGTCGGTTGGTCAGAAGCTCGTGGACGCGAGCTGCTGCTGCTGCTGCTGCTGCTGCTGCTGCTGCTGCTGCTGCTGCATCTCCTCCTCCTCCTCCTCTTACTCCTCCTCTCCTCCTTCCCTCCTCCTCCTCCTCCTCCTCCTCCTCTTTCTCCTCCTTCTCCTCCTTCTCCTCCTCTTTCTCCTCTTTCTCCTCTTTCTCATCTTTCTCCTCCTCCTCCTCTTTCTCCTCCTTCTCCTCTTTCTCCTCCTCTTTCTCCTCTTTCTCATCTTTCTCCTCTTTCTCCTCTTTCTCCTCCTTCTCCTCTTCCTCCTCCTCCTCCTCCTCCTCCTCCTCCTCCTCCTCCTCATTCTCCACCAACAATTGAACACTCCGCAGCTCAGGTCGATCGAAGACCACACCTGCGCGACAAGAGAGGCCCGCCTCGCCTCGATCCCGCGCTGGCCTCCGGCCAGGCTGCCTGCTCCGCCGCCGCTGCCTCTGCCTCGGCCTCCTGGCCGCCCCCTCTCACGCCGTCACCGTTCTCTGGCGCCTGCGGCTCCTGGCTGCAGCTCTGTCGCCGCCGCCTCTGCGTCCTCACCGCCTTTTCCTCCTCTGCCTCCGCCGCCCACGCCACCTCCTCCTCCTCCTCCTCCTCCTCCTCCTCCTCCTCCTTGGCGTTCTCTACCCACTCCTCCGCTCTCCTCCCCTTTCCTGCTCCTCCTGCTCCCCTTACCCTCCTTCCTAATCTATCCTCTGCCTCGCCGCCCACCTCCTCCTCCGCCTCCTCCTCCTCGGCGTTCCCCGCCCTGTCCTCCGCTCTCCTCCCCCCTTCTGCTCCTCCTGCTCTGCTCCCCTTGCTCTCTTTCCCGATCCACTCCTGTCGACGGGGTGCGGCGACGAGCGCCCGCAGGCCTGTCTGCTTGTCGTCGAACTTGGACGGGGAGGCGCCCTCCTCCTCCCACACGTCCTGGTGAGCGGCAGCCGCGCGGCATCGTTGTGGAAGCCTCGCTTCCGAAAAGACCACAGCTGCTGATCCTCTCTGTCGGGCGCGTATTGTCTGTTCGATGGAGGTGCCGGCCCCCGGGGTCTCGCACCCGGCTTCGCATGAAGGGGAACCTTCCTGCTCAAGCCGCACCTCTGGCCCCCAGACTATCACAACACCAACTCACGCCTGAGACTTCCCTGCGGTTCACTCAAGGTCCCGCTCTTGCTTGGGGCTTCTCCACAACTTTTTGAATAATCGCGCAAGTGTCTCCGACTTCCATGAACTCTGACGAAGGCGCTGTGCTCTCGTCGTCCTGGAATCGCGCTCTCGCAGGAGGCTCTCTCACAATTTACTCAGTACTTGTGCTCACGCCTGATGCTTCTCCACCGTTTACGACATTCGCCTCAATGCCTCGCCCGCTCGATCAGCCTGTTAGGGCCCACCCGCCCGAACTGTTAAGGTCCGCCCGCCCGACCCGCCTGTTAGGGTCCGGCCGGTCTCCTGCTTGGAAACCCGCGCGACCGCTTCAATGTTCCGCCCGACCCGCCCGTTAAGAGTTCTCCCGTTCGCCTGTTTGGAAGCCCGCCCGTCCCGCCTGGCCCGCCTGCTAAGCCCTGCCCGCCCGACCTGCCCGTCAGGGTCCGCCCGCCCGACCCGCCCGTCAAGGTCCGCCCGCCCGACCTTCCCGTTGGGGTACGCCCGTCCGCGTTCTTCCCTTCCATTTTCGTTTTCTCCTTTCTCCCCTGCTCTCTCTCCCTCCCTTCTTCCCTTCTCTCTCCCCTTCCTATTTCAGGGGCCGCGCCAACTACACGAGGCAGGCAAGAAACACACATACACACACGCACACCCTCAAAAAGGGGTGAGATCGAAGACGAAAAGGGCGGGTGTGGAGGGCTTGGGGGTACGTATGCTGAGTGACACGCGAGCAGCGAAGAGTGATACATCCGGAAAGGTTGAGTCTTCACTTCTGCAAAACTCGTACTGTTGATTCCCCCTCCCCGGTGCCCTTTTGGCTTGTCTATTGAAGTGCCCCCCGCGGGGGCTCGCATCCTTTCCGCGTCTCGGGAGAACTTCTCGCGCTCAAGCCGCGTCGTCCCCCCCTGGCCAGAAAAGCAACGGCGGCTCCCGCCCGATACCTCCCCGCGGCTTACTCAGGGATCACGCTCGCGCCCGATCCTCGCAACTTGCTCAGGCATTGCGCTCCCGCCCGGGACTTCCTCACAGCTTGCTTACTCAGGCCCTGCGCTCTCGACGTCGAGGAATCGCGCTCTTGCGCGATGAGCGCCTTGCACTCTACTGAGCTCGTACCCTCGCCTTGCTCTTCGATGCCCCGCCCGCCGGGCGCGCCTCTTCGGGCCCGCCCGCCCGTGAAGGCCCGCCCGCTCGCCTGCTTCGAGGCCAACGCCCGCCCGCTTCAGTGCCCCGCCCGGGGTCTGCCCGCCCCTTCCGCCCGTAATTGAGGGATGAAAAAAACGACCCTACCCTGGGTTACAAGTGCACGGTCTGTAAACCTCTTTGGAACCCCCAAATCCTAGAGCCGCCAGGACGCGGCACATCACGCAGGGTTTACCCTGTCAGCCCACAGGAGTTTCAGCGCACACCGCCTCGTAAACCAGGGTAGGGGCGGTTTGTTCTGCCCTGGACGTACGGGCCCGCCCGCCCGACCTGCCCGTTGGGGTCCGCCCGTTCGGTTGCCTGGCAAGGGCGAGCGGTGTTTGAATCCAAGCTGCGATGCCACTGTCGGCCCTCGCAGCGTGTTTAGTTGGTCCATCTTTTAGTTGTACAAGGCAATGTCTTCGGGCTCGAGCTGTGCCGTCGCACACCGGCGACAACAATCGCGGCTCTCGCCTGGGACTTCCCGTCAATGCGTTCCGGATTTTCGACTCCCTTGCAATTTACTCACAAATCTTGTTCCCCTCTGATCGAGGATCGTGCTCCCGCGAACCAGAATCTGCATGTCCGCCGAGGAGATCCCCCCATTTTGCCTCTGACTCGAGGTCTCGCACGGGGCTTCCCCACGGGCCCCCCCCGCCAAGCTCGCGCGTTCATGTCCCTGCGCCCGACCCGCCCGCCAAGGCCCGCCCGACGCGCCCCTTGGGGTCCGCCCGCCTGGCGCGCTCGAGAGGTCCGCCGCTTCGTTGGCTTGGAGGCCCACCCGCCCGTGTTCATGCCCGGCCCGCCGAGCCTGGCTCGTCAGGTCCGCCCTGCCGCCTGCCTGGAAGCCTGCCCGTCCGCTTCAATGTCCGAGGAAGAGGAGGAGGAGGAGGAGGAGGAGGAGGAGGAGGAGGAGGAGGAGGAGGAGGAGGAGGAGGAGGAGGAGGAGGAGGAGGAGGAGGAGGAGGAGGAGGAGGAGGAGGAGGAGGAGGAGGAGGAGGAGGAGGAGGAGGAGGAGGGGTCCGCCCGCTTGAACATTGCGCGCCCGCCCGACCAGCCCGCCAGGGCCCCGCCGCTCGCCTGCTTGAAAGCCCGCCCGAACTGCACGCCGCCCGCCCGCCCCGCCCGACATTGCTACCCGCCCGCCCGGCCCGCCTGTAGGAGCCGCCCGCCCGACCCGCGGCTTCGGACTCGCCCGCCCGACCCGCCGCTCCCGGTGCTGGTTTTTGCCAAGTAGCTGGCCTTACAGAGGTGCCCCCCCCCCCAAAGGGGGGAAGCTCATAGGCGGAAAGCGTGTCTTTCGAGGGTTCATGTTGAACGACACGCGCACAACCAAGAACGAACAGTCTCAAGATGGTTGTTGAACTTTCACGTCAGCAGAATAATGATTGCCGACCTCCTCGCCGATAGCCCGTTGTGTTTTCACTAAATGCCCCACCTCGGTCTTGCCCGTAAATGTCGATGCTCAAATCGTGCTGTTGCGCCCCTGGACTACAACAACAACGGTTCACGCTGGAGATCTCCTCGTGATATATTCAGGGCTTCCGTTCTCGCTGGGGACTCTTTTGCAATCTGTTCCAGAATCGCGTTCTCACCGCTTTTGAATCGGGCTCTCGCCTGGACCATCCTAATGATTTATTCGATAATCGCTCTCTCGCCAATCAGGACTTACACTGTAGCCTGGGACTTCCACCCATCTTATATATGACTCGCGGTCTCGCCTCGGACTTCCTCACACCCCACTCAGAATTCAGGCATGAACATCGGTCCCGCCCGGCCCCGCCCATCATGGTCCGCCGGCCCGATAGCCCGTTAAGGTCGCCCCGCTGGGACTGTCCGACTCGCCTTTGGAAGCCCGCGCGTCCGTTCTAACGCGCCGCCATATGTGTTTCGCCCGTCCAGCCCAGCCGCTGTGATGTCCCGCCTGCATGGCCCGCCCGTCAGGGTTTGTTCGTTGGTTTGTTTCGAAGCCAGCCCGCTTTAGTGTCCCCTTCCCGCCAGGCCCGCTCGCTCAGGCCTCCCCGCCCGCCGCGGCCGTCAGGGTCCGCCCGAGGGGCCCGGCCGTTCGGGTCTGGCCGCCCGATCCGCCCCGCCCGTGAGGGTTCGCTCGCCCAATCGGCCTCTCTGATCCTGTCGGGTTTTACCCATCAGCTGGCACAGCAGAGGTTGCCCCGAAATGGGGGTACGCTCATGGCGAAGAGGGCGGGCGTCGATGGTTTGGGGCATACATGATGGCTGACGCGCGGGCAATGAGGAGTGAGCAGTCGTAGCATGATTGCTTTTGATGTTGTGCTGTTATCTGCTTGTTTCGTTGCTTGTTTTGTTGTGTGCCCAACAGCCCTGCTTTGCCCGACCGACTCGCGCGACCGCCGAGCCTGCGGCCCAAACACGGTCACGTTGTTTGCTCGGTTGTGCTCGTTTTCTTGTTCTTGTTGCGCGCTCGCTTCTGAGCAGCTATGCAGTGGGGAGCTTTTGCTCAGTGTGTCGCGGCGGCGGCCCAAGCGACACGCTATGCCCTGCGAGCTGATAGCGTGTCTCTCCGCCTCGCGGGGCGGGCTGCTGGGGAGAGCTCGGGATGTTGACGCCTGGGGACTGTGACGTGCTTCTCGTGTCGCGCGGAAGCGTGGCGGGCCAGAACCAGCGCCGGGACACGCTAAGTGAACGTCCCTGACCGCATTGAGGGCGACCAAATCGTCCACGTGCAGAAGTGTCACGAACACCTGCGCGTCTCTAGAAGAAGACGAATCATAATAACAAAAAACGGCTCAAACAGAAACTCTTTCAAATTCGCGGGGATTTTTCGGATCTGCGGGGGCCCCCCTCCATGGCGCGCGCGAGGGGCGGCGCCGAAGGCGCCGCAAATGGGCGCCAGCGCAGATCCTAGGAATTCGCGCGGAGCTCCGAAAGTTTCTATGTGTGCAGTTTCTTCGTCCTCTGGTCTCGCAGACGCCCGCAAGCATCCCCGCGGCGCTGGCGGCAGCCGCCTAGCTCAGCAGGAGCCCGGGCGCACGAGCTCTCCTAGCCGAGCGGTCCCGAGAGCGCGCCACTCCTGGAGGAACTCCCCCGACCGCAGCGCAGCAACAACCCCCCCCCCCCCCGAAGCACGTGCAGTCAAAACCGATAGTAAGGATACGCGCTAAGGATGCAAGCCCCTCGTACGCCCTTGTCGAGGCTCTTCGAGCGGGGCTGGCCATCGAAAGTGGTGAAGGATGGGCCGAAGGGGCAAGGATGCAAGGGTACCCTTGGAAAGGTTACCCATCCCTATCATCGGTTTCGACTGCAGTGGACGTCACCCAGTTCGAATTCTACAGGCTCGGCCATCTCTCGAGGAAGGGACATCGGCATAAGCATCGTCCACCGTGCCTCTGGGCACGGAATGGGCGTGTTCTTGAGTCCTTTGCTTAATCCTGCAAGCCTCCATCTTTACTCCTGAGGAGTCTCTTCGGGCCCGGACCCCGAATTGCCAAATCTCTCGGGGCTTGTGCCGTGCCCCCCTGGGGTTCCTCGCGTCTTCCCGCATGACTCTTTCGGGCCCAACAGGCGCCCAAGACGGCCCAAGAGGGCCGCAAGAGGCCGCCAAGAGGGCCCAAGATGGCCCCAAGACGGCCCAAGAGGCCGCCAAGACGCCCCAGGAGGCCTCCAAGAGGCCAACATCATTGATTTTCCATTGCTTTTTGAGGGACTTCAGCGTTCTCGCCTTTTTGGATTCCCGCCGCTCTATGACTGCCCAGGAGGCCCCCAAGATCGCCCCAAAACGGCCCCAGAGGCCCCCAAGAGGGCCCCAAGAGGGCCCAAGAAAGCCCAAAGGCGGCCCAAGAGGCGCCCAAGACGGCCTAAGAGTGCTCAAACACGGCTCCAAGAGGGGTCCCAGATGGGGAGCCCGAACGGACATTTCGAACCCTCGGCTCCGAGAGGCCCCCAGGAGCCCCGGGGAGGCCCCCAAGAGGCCCCCAAGAGGCCCCAAGAGGCGCCCAAGAAGCCCCAGGAGGCCCCCAAGAGGCCCGCAGGAGACTCCCAAGAGGCCCCAAAACTGCCCCAAAACTGCTCCCAAGAGGCCCCAAAACGCCCCCGAAGGCGCTCCGAAGAGACTCCAAGAAGCATCCCTGAGAACTCTGGCATACAACCCTGGCACGGTGGCGAGATTGGCCGAAGGCCATCAGAATGCGGGATGACGATTAGTACAAAAAATTGGAGAGAACGATTAAAAAAATAGTTTTCTGCTATTCCTGCACAATTTTCTGCCTGGAGGAGAACGATAAGAAAAATAGTTGTCCGACCCGCGGCCAGTTCTTTCTAATCGTCATCCCGGGCGCCGCCGCGTGAACACGACCCCTGGTCATTTATCATCGTCATCCTCCATTATAGAATCTTTCAGATGTCCGCGCGGGCTTCAGGAGGAGGAGGATGAGGAGGAGGAGGAGGAGGAGGAGCAGGAGGAGGAGGAGGAGGAGGAGGAGGAGGAGCAGGAGGAGGAGGAGGAGGAGGAGGAGGAGGAGGAGGAGGAGATGTCCGCGCGGGTTTCTGGGAGCGGCGCCGGGTTCCCCGCCCCACCGCGAAAGAAGCGCGAGCCGAGGGGGGCGCCGGCGGCGCCAGAGGGGGGCCCAGTGCCGATCAGAGAGAGCTCTGCGAGGACCTCCCGACGCTCATTCCCCAGCTCGGCTTGCCTGAATCGGGGGCGGCCAAGAGGGGGGTGTCCAAGAGGGGGGGGGGTGCAAATCATGACCGGCGGCATGTGCGCGGCGCCGCGGGGGGGCAGGAACGTAATGAAATAAGAAGAGGCGCCATGAAATCTGGGGAAATATCATGGCCCACGCCGTGATATCCACCCCCCCTAATTAGTCATCACCCCCCTCTTTTCCGCCCCCGACTAAAGGGTTCTTACTTTGCTAGAAAGGTTGGCGCCTCGGATTCTTCCGTTGCCCGTTGCTCGGGGGTTTCCCGGGATCCTCGGGTTCCCCAAGTTCCTCGCCGTCAGCGCCGCCGATTCTTTCGTTGCCCGCCGCTCGGAGGTTCCTGGGCTCCTCTGCTTCCCCGGGTTCCTCGCCCCCGGTTCCTCCCATTGTTGCGTTGCCCGTTCCTCGGAGGTTCCTGGGGTTCCCCAGGTTCCTCGGGCTCCCCAGGTTCCTCGGGTTCACCGCCCCCCGTTGCCCCAAAGCAATGCCGAGCGATGCCAAACAATGCCAAGCAATGCTAAGCGATGCACCCAGCGATGTGCCCTCTCCAAACTGGGGTCGAGCCGGGATCATCTTTTTCTGGGGGGGAGGGAGGGGACGACCACCACATCCAAACGTTGCTTACTATCTCTCTTTATCAAATCTCGTTGAGTATGATGACATGGTTGACAGCGATCGGATTTTGCACCGTACCTGGCGCGACGCCGCACGCGGGCCAGCGGAGCCAGCCCAGCGCATCGTCCCGCGCCTGGTCCTCACTGGCGTTCGGGAAAAAAGCAGACGTCCCCTCCTCCCTTCCTCTCTCCCCATACCCACTCCATCCGTTGATCCCTCGCTCGATCCCTCCTTCATTCCTCCCTCGTCTCTCCCTCTCCTCCCCTCCTCGTCCTGCGCCCTCATGCTGATTCTCATCCTCCTGCTCCTATTCCTTCTCCGCCTCCTCCGTCCTCCGTCCTCAATCCATCGTCCTCTGGTCTCCTCGTCCTCGTCCTCGCCCTCTACCCTCTTTGACGACGGGGACGCTGACGACGACGGTGCCGGCGACGGCGGCAACGACGACAACAACGACGACGACGACAACGACGTCCTCGGGGATGCGCGTGGACATGGCGTTCCGCGTCCTGGCCCCGACCGTCAGCCGCGGGGGCGCAATCATCGCCGCCGCCGTCGTCGCCGCCGCCGTCGCCCTCGCCGTCGCCACCGTCGTCGCCGCCGGCGTCGCGCCGTCGTCGCCACCGTGGCCGTCGCCGTCGACATCGCGGTCGTCCCCGCTGACATCGTCGCCGTCGTCGTCGTCGTCGTCGTCGTCGTCGTCGTCGTCGTCGTCGTGAGAGGGGGGTCTCCTTCTCCTCTTCCCCCTGCTGCTTTCTCCTCCGACCCCTCCTCGAGAGGCGGGGCTCGCACGGGCGGAGCTCGGGCGGCGCGGAACTCGCGCACGGAGGCGGAACGCGCGCACGGCGCGGAGCTCGCAGGGAGGGAACCTGCGCGAAGGAAACTCGCAGGACGCCGAGCTCGCACGGGCGGCCAAGCTCGATGCATCCACGCGCGGCGGGGCTCGATCGCGTGCGGATCCCGTCCGTGCGAGCTCTGTGTAATTATGCGAGCTCCGCGTGGGCGAGGCCCGCCTCGTGCGAATTCCGTCCGTCCGAGATCTGCTGCGTCCGCGCGAGTTCCGTCCGTGCGTGCGAGTTCCGCGCGTGCGGGTTCCGCTCGGGCAGCGGAACTCGCAGTGCCACCTGGCGCGCAACGAGCCGCGGTACGGCCGGTTATCGATACAGAGACTGGGCCAACGAAGAGAATAACTAAATAAGGCGCCAGCCAGACATGGTGCTCGGTTCCCACACAAATGGCGACACTAAATGGGCTCAATCCGGGAATTAGCGAAAGCAGATAGCAGACTGTGGAATGTCCGCGCACGGTGCACTGGACACCGTGGCGCGTAGTCTAAAGTGAAAAGAAGTTGTCTGGTACTTCTGGCGTTGTTGTTGTGGTTGCTGTTGTTGTTGTGGTTGTTGTTGTTGAACATTATTAATTCTAAAGAATAATTATTGTTGGGGCCCCTGGTGCACGGCCCCCCTGCGCCGCCTAGGCCGCAGCTACATTTTCATCATTTTCGTGAGGAAGCCTCAGGTAATACGATGTCATCAAGATCCGGTTGTTTTGTTGTAATCCGTTTTCCCTTGCAAAAAACACTATAAAATGACATTTCTTGTTCTAATATAATCAAATTTCAAGAATCCCTTGCAAAAAATAAGGTAAAGTGGACATTCGCGCGCGCAAGACGAAATCCTTCCAAAAGCTTAGTGTTCGGAGCGATTTTAACATAAAAACATCAAAAAACCAATGGTTTTTCAACAAAAAAATGTCAAAATCTCATCCCGCGCGCTCTTGCGGATTCGTAGGAAACCCAACACTTTTTAAACATTTCTGTCAAACGGGCTTTTGCGAGCAACTTTTTCGAACTTCTGCGACAACGGTTGCGCACCTGCCAGGGCCATCATCCCTGTCAAATAATACCATGCGGGACACATTCGTTTTTTCTTCGCGCGCGCACGCCGTCGTCGTCGGCCGCGGGGCCCTGAATAGTAGCCACGGTCGTCCGCATGCCACGAAGTGAAGTGTCCGAACGTCATAGGGCGGGAAGCTGGGTGTGGGTGGTGGCGAAGAGTCGTGTGGATATTTGGTAGAGCTTGCACTGCCCCCCCACAAAGTGGGGGTATTGGCTGGCGTCGCATGAAAACCCTGGCACTGGTGAGAACACTGAGCGTTCGGGTAAAGTGATTGTTGTTGTTGTTGTTGTTGTTGTTGTCGTTGTCGTTGATATTGCTATTGTTATTGTTGTTGTTGCTGTTGCTGTTGTTGTTATTGTTGTTGTTGTCGTCGTCGTCGTCGTTGTTCTTGTTTTTGGACATCTGGACCCGTGAAGACCTCCGCGGGGGCTTCTGGATGCCTGTAGCAGGGACCTCTGGAGTTCACCCGGGGGGGCCTCCCCGAAAATCTCGGGCTCCCTCAACATGTGAAGCCGCACACCTCTTTGATGGGGCGCGCCTGGAACGGAATCCCACGGGGGAGCCTGGCCGTGCCGACGAGACAATCGACCGATGCCGAGAAAACACGGGAAGGACCTGGGAAACGGGAGAAGGGCTGAACATGCTTCAAGGTTTGGATCAACGTTTCAAACATCTTATTCGAGGGTCAGGAGGAGCTCCTGGCCCCGCCGTGTGAGACATCCTCAGAACATGCTGGCTGGCTGGTTGGTTGGTTGGTTGGCCCTTTGGCTGGTTGGTTGCTTGTTTGCTCCGCCAATCGGTTTGGGCTCGTCAGTTGGCCAGTTGGCTGGTTGGTTGGCTGGTTGGCTAGCTGACAGGTTGGCTGCTTCGTTGGTCAGTCGGCTGGCCGCATGGCTGGCCCGCTGCTCGGTTGATTGGTCGGTCGGTCACCCGCTAGCACGTCTGCCCGCTCGCATGATGAGCGCGCGAGTGCCCGCCCGCCACGAGGACGACGGCGGCGGCGAGAACGACGACGAATGACAACGATCAGGGCGACGAAAATGACGAGGACGAGGACGAGGACGCGGACGACGAGGACGAGGACGAGGACAAGGACTAGGACGACGGCGAAGAAGAGGAGAACGAGTTCGATGACGACCACGACGACCAGGACGAAGACGACGAGGAGGAGGACGACGAAGACGACGACGAGGACCGCCAGAAACATTCGGATCCCCTGGGAAACCTAAGGGAATCCAGAGGGTTCCATCGGAGTAGGAAATGCAGAGATGAAATCCCATGAGGCAGTCCTTGGAAACATCCAGATGGTTCCTGAGGACATCCTTCGGAAATCGAGAGGAATCCTTGGCGTACTCGTCACACGGCAACCCAGGGGGAGCCGGACCACTGACTATTCTAGACTACTCGTCATCCTCATATTCCCCTCTTCTTGAGCCTGCTCACCACCACACTTCTCATCATCATCCCCTTCCCTTCCTCCTCCTCCTCCTCCTCCTTCTGCTCAGCCTCATCCTCATTTGTTCACCCCACCTCCTCATCCCACTCATTATCAACCTCATCAACATTATCATCCCCCTCCCCCTGTTCATTCTCGTCCGAGTAATCATCATCATATCCTCCCTGCTCCTCCTCCTCCTCCTGGTCATCCTCCCGTTCATCATCAATATCCTCATGATCTTGCCCTCTTCCTCCTGCGTGCCCTCCCAGAAGCTTTCGGCCGAGACTCCATTCGGCGCACCCTCACGCACTTCGTGCTACCTGGCCTCACTTATGCTTTCGGCTCATTCCTAACTTGGCTAAGGGAATCTCGCATTCGGCACACATCTCGCGCACTGCGTGCCCGATATTTCTCCAGAGGCTTCTGGCTGAGGCTCGATTCGGCACATCACTCACGTATTTTGTAAACTTGCCTTCCCAGAGGCTTTGAGTTGGCCTCACAAATCAACATGGTTGGACAAAAGAAACAGGGTATTCCGCCTTACTCGTCACGTGGCCCCGCAAGGGCGGGCGGAACCACGATAAACCTACTCCACCTGGTAACCCAGGGGTGCGAAGCAAAACAACGATGTTATCCCACCAGTCCTTCGGGCTAGGTGGCCTAGCGAATTCTTTCTTTCCTCTTACAATAACCTCTTCCCTTCTGGGTTTTTTTGGAGGGGGAGGGGCGCGATCGGTCAGAGTGCCCACGATGGCCCAAGCTGGCTCCAAGAGGGCCTCCGATGCTCCTAGATGGCTCACGATAGCCGACGATGGTTCAAGGTAGCTTCCGACATACGTCCAAGAGGCCCGACCAGGGCCACGAAACGGTTCCAAGCGAACTCGGACCTCCTGGGGACCCCCCCAAAGAGGCCCAAATCCGTACAGAAAGCATCTGACGACATCCTTCTCGCCCTCTCGCTTCCGAGGCGCTCTTGACGCCCGAAGACGATGGCCCACGAGAGGCCCACGAAGGGCCCAAGATGCCCCCCCCGACGGCCCCGGGAGCGCCCCAGAGCGCCCCAAGTGCGCCCCGAGAGCCGACAACGGCCATCTTGCAAACATGTGATTTCTTTTTATACCAGCTCCTAGGAGAAGCATTCAGCAGCGCACTCTGTATGCGATCTGCGCCGCCATGGCCGTAATTCAAGCTAAGGCGCCCGCGGGAAACTCACCAACTTGATTGAATGGCGAGGAAGTCTTAGGCGAGAGCACCGTTCCTCAGCTTTGGGGCCCCTCTGGCTTTGGCGTCTCAGCGAACATTGTGAGGAAGTGTCGAACGGGATCCGCTGTCGTCGCATGTGGGCCGTTGCGAACTTGACTGGATTGCGAAGAAATGTCGGGCGATAGCGCCGTTCCTGAGTTTCCGGGCCTCGCTGGGCAGGGCGCCTCCGAGTAAGCTGTGAGGAAGTATCGAGCGGGAGCCATTGTCGTCGTAGCTGGGCCGTTGCCGCCTTGCCTGATTAGCGGAAAAATCTTTGAACGAGAGCGCCATTTCTGAGTTCGGGGGCCTCTTTTGCGAAGCCGTCTCGGAGTAAATGATGCGGAAACATCGACCGGGAGCCGCTGTCGTCCTCCAGGGGATCGGGTTTGGACGCAAGCCCACGCTCGAGCGGGAGCGTCGCTGTCAACATAAAATGCAGCCAGCGCTGAGACGAGAGCGCCCGGAACCGTTTCTGGCGACCAGCAAATGTTATGGCCCGGAAGTGAATGTTCGACGACGACGATGAGGACGACGGGGCGACGACGACCCTCACGGGCGGGTCGGGCGGGCGGGCCCTCATGGGCGGGTCGGGCGGGCGGGTCGTGTCGGGCGGGGCACGGAAGCAGTGCGCACTTCATCCAGCAGGACATCCACGAGGGCGACGACGACGACGACGAGGGCGACGACGACGAACGACGAAGGCGACGAGGACGACGACAAGGACGACGACGACGAGGGTAACAACGACGTCGACGACGAAGACGGCGACGACGACGGCGACCACGACGTACACCACGACGTACACCCGGACCCTGGGACCCCGCCCCAAATTGTGCGGGGGGGCGCAACCGCATCAGCGCAACTTCCGGTCCTCCCAAGTGGATTTCCGGGCACAACATCGATGTGCGCGCTAGCGAAACGAGCTTTTCCTGGGAAGTCTATAAGGATGGTACAGGATCTACTGGGAACCCTACTACTACCCTCGTCAAACTTAACCTCAATAGTTGCTGGCACGTCATTTCGATTTTGGCGCGCCCCTCAATGTCGACACGCCGCCCCTTCAATGTCGGGGCGAGGGCAAAGATAGTCTGACCGAAGTTGACTCGAAAGTTTGACGTCGACCGACATTGGAGGGGCGGCGCATGCAAGTACGCAGCACTCATCGATACTCGGCCCCAGATCTTCCGACAAGCAGTTCAACCACGTCAGACATTTTTGAGGTTAATTTTGACGAGGGTTGTAGGATGGCGCAGGACCTACTCGGAACTCAATGGGGATGGTGCAGGGGTAACTCTTTATGGATGGTATAAGACCTTCTGGGAACTCAATAGGACTGTACAGGACCTGCTGGGAACTCTATAGGGATGATACAGGACCTGCTGGGAACTCTATAGGATTGGTTCAGGACCTACTTAGGGATGGTACAGGCCCTATTGGGAACTCTATTAGGATGGAACTGGACCGCAGAAGGCGCAACCGATACATATCCCATGCGGCTTGTATTTGCTCAGATACAGAGCCCATACGGCCTGCATAGGTATAGGCTCCGATACAGATCCCGTGCGGCATGTATAGGCTCCGATGCGGATCCCATACGGCAAGTGTGGGCTCCGATACAGATCCCATACGACCTGTATGGGCTCCGATACAAACCCCATGAGGCCTGTATGGGCTCCGATACACATCCCATACGGCTTGTGTGGGCTCCGATGCAAATCTCATGCGGCTTGTATGGGATCCGATGCAGATCCCATGCTGCTTGTGTGGGCTCCAATGCAGATCCCATACGGCCTGTATGGGCTCCGATACAGATCCCCTGCGGCCTGCAGGGGGTCCGATACAGATTCCATACGGCCTGCAGGGGCTCCGCTACAGATCCCATACGACCTGTATGGGATCCGATACAGTCACCATAAGGCCTGTATGGGCTCCTGTACACATCCCCTACGGCCTGTATGGGCTCCGATACAGATCCCACGCGGCCTGTATGGGGTCCAATGCAGATCCCATGCGGGTTGTATGGGCTCCAGTGCAGATTCCATGCGGCCTGTATGGGATCCGAAACACATCCCATGGGGCCTGTGAAGAGTCCGATACAAATCCCATACGGCCTGTATGGGCTCCGATGCACCCCCCCTGCGGCCTGCAAGGGCTCCGATACAGATTCCATACGGCTCGTACGAGATCCGATGCAGATCTCATGCGGCCTGTAGGGTCTCCGATACAGATCCCATGCGGCCTGTGTGAGATCCCATATAGACCCGATAAGGCCTGTATGGGATCCGATACGCATCCCATACGGCCTGTATGGGCTCCGATACAGATCCCTTGCGGCTTGTATGGGCTCATATACAGAGCCCATACGGCTTGTATCGAATCCGATACACATTCCATACGGCCTGAATGGGTATAGGCTCCGATACAAATCCGGTGCGGCTTGTATTGGCTCCGATGCGGATCCCATACGGCGTGTATGGGATCCGATACAGATCCCATACGACCTGTATGGGCTCCGATACAGAACCCATAAGGCCTGTATGGGCTCCGATACACATCCCATACGGCTTGTGTGGGCTCCGATACAGGGATCCGATGCAGCTCCCCTACGGCCTGTGTTGGATCTCATACAGATCCCATACGGCCTGCACGGGATTCGATACCGATCCCATCGGTCTGTATGGGCTCCGATACAGAGCCCATGCGGCTTGTACAGGATCCTAGACAGATCCGATACAGGCTGCAGCAAAACCCCATGGGACGCCCAGAGAAAGGCGCACGAGACGCGCAAAGGGGGGGGCGCAACTCGCGCACGGGAGGGCGCAACCCGCGGGGGGGAGGTCGCAACCCAACCACGCTCGCGCTCGAGCGCTGCGCGGTTGCGTTGCGCCCCCCCCCGGCGCAACGCAACCGGGCCCCAGGAGCACGTTCTCATCAACGGAGACGGCGCCGACAACACCGACACCGACGACGAGGACGAGGACGAGGACGGGGACGAGGACGAGGACGAGGCCGACGACGACGACGAGGGCGACAACGACGACGACGACGGCGACGACGGCGACGACGACCCCAATGGGCGGGTCTGGCGGGCGGGCCCTCACGGGCAGGCCGGGCGGATCGCGCGGGCGGACCCCATGATGTGGCTCGGGCGGGCGGACCCTCACGGGCGGGTCTGGCGCCCGTCCCGCGGCAACTCACATGCCCATACTGCAGTGCGCATCGAAGGGCGGAGGTTGGGCCCGTAGATCGTGCGCTTCCTGTAGGCAAACAGCATGCGAGCCTCAGAACCTCGTCGCGAGCACCAGCAACATGCCTGTGAGTACCAGCGCCAGTGTCTATTGGTACGACCAGAAGACAATCCCACACTCTGCACGCGTTGCGTTTAGGCGGCCGCCACGACGCCCGGCATGGAACGGTGCCAGTGAGCACCGCCGTGTCTGCGAGCACCGCGCAGCGAGTGAGGCCTGCTGCATACATGCACTTGCCAGCTCCCTCCCTCGCCCGCACTCTGTCCGTCCCTCCACCCCGCCCGTGCTGAGTGGCAAGAAGTGGGACTCGCACAGGCGGAATTCGCACGGACGGAACTCGCACGGCACGGAACTCGCACCGACTGAGCTCGCACCGACGGAATTCGCGCGGACGGAACTCGCTCGCGCGAGTTCCTACGGTGCGAACTCAGCCCGCACCGGTTCCGCCACGTGCGAGCTCCGTGCCGTGCGAGCTCCGCGCCGTGCGAGCTCCGCATCGTGGGAGCTCCGCACCGTGGGAGCTCCGCATCGTGGGAGCTCCGCACCGTGGGAGCTCCGCACCGTGCGAGCTCCACCTCTTGCCGCTCAGCATTGGGCGGGACGGAGGGACGGACAGCGCGCGAACTCCGCAGCGTGCGAGCTCCGCGCGGTGGGAGCTCCGTGCGTCGAGAGCTCCGTCTGCGTGCGCACTCCGTGTGCGCGAGTCCCGCGCGTGCAGGTCCCGCCGCCTCCCCTCCCCCCCTTCCTGCCCTCCTCCTCCAGCTCCTCCGGCCTCTCCTCCTCTCCAGGAGGGGGGAGAAGGAGGGAGCAGAAGGGGGAGGAGGAGGAGGAGGAGGAGGAGGAGGAGGAGGAGGAGGAGGAGGAGGAGGAGGAGGAGGAGAGGAGGAGGAGGAGGAGGAGGAGGAGGAGGAGGAGGAGGAGGAGGAGGGGGAGGAGGAGGAGGAGGAGGGGGAGGAGGAGAAGGAGGAGGAGGAGGAGGCAAAGGAGGGCCAGAGAGTCAAGTGGCAGGAGTGGTGGTGCAAGGAGCTGAGGGGGATCGGAAGGAGGATGAATGCCTCAAAAAGCAGAAGAGAAAACCAATAAGTAGGATGAGGAGGAAGCGGGAGGAATAGGGGGATGTGGGCGAGGAGGAGGAGGAGAAGGAGGAGGAGGAGAAGGAGGAGGACGAGTAAGATGGAGGACCAGCGATGCTGCAATACACCCTCCTGCCCCAAGACCCCCCATTAGTCCCACAAGCATTCCACCTCTCTACGAGAGGCACCCTCTTGACAGAGGAAGGCCCCATCACTCAGGTGAGGACATGAGCCCAAACAGAGCCAAAAACGCCGCCATCGCCGCCGCCGCCGCCGCCGCCGCCGCCGCCGCCGTCGTCGTCGTCGTCGTCGTCGTCGTCGTCGTCGTCGTCGTCGTCGTCGTCGTCGTCGTCGTCGTCATCGTCGTCGTCGTCGTCGTCGTCGTCGTCGTCGTCCCGGGCGCCTGGAGACCTCGGGGCCGTCCATGGTCGTCAACGCGGACGCCGTGCGGGCCCTGGGGCGCCCCGGCGCCGGCCGGCGCCACTGCCGCCCGCGGTCGCCGCCGCATCCACTGCGGGGCACCGTCGTCGCCGCCGCCGCCGGCGCTGCCGAAGCGGTCTGTCTTTGCCGTCGCCGCTGCCGCCACCCGCCGTGGCTGCCGCCGTCGGTGGCCAGCGCGGGCAGCGTGGGGTGCCCTGGCTGGCCACCGCGCCCCGCCCCACGAGGGAGGGGGGGGGTCCTGCTGCCGAAGTCGTTTTTTTTTTTTTTTTGGGGTCGCGCCGTGGGCCCCGCTGAGGTCTTGACAGCTTCCCCCAGACCGCCTCTGCATCCCAAGTCGAATTCTGGTGGCCCCTGGGCCCAGCGAGGGCCCCCGGAGGCATCATAACCCAGAGAGCCTCCCGTCGGTTTGCTCTGGTGATGTGCACGAAGCGATGGTGGTCTGGGAGGAGTGCCCTGCTGCGTGACCGCTGGCAGAGTGCTCGCCTTGCCCTGCGAGAGATCCCCACGGCTGCCGCTGATGGTGAGACGGGGGGCAGGGGCCGAGGCTGCAGCCGTGGCTACATCCTCCGAGCCCGCACGCCCCAGCGCAGTATCTCGGGGGATGGCCACTCTGGTCGGCCGGCCCTCCCTCCCTCACTCCCTCCTCTCCCTCCTCTCCCTCCATCCCTCCGTCCCTCCTCCCTCCCTCCCCTCCCTCCCTTCACTCCTCCTCCTTCCCTCCCTCACTCCCTCGTCGTCCTCCTCCTCCTCCTCCTCCTCCTCCCTCCCTCGCGCCAGGCTTCTCCCCCTCCATCCCCCTCCTCCTCCTACTCCTCCTCCTCCTCCTCCTCGCTCGTTCGCAGCTTTAGGTTAGACAGCGGAGTACCGATCGCAGAGGGCGGGTGGCAGGAGGTGGACGTGGGGAGTGAGCAGCCGCAGCAGCAGAGCGCAGCAGCCAGCACCACAAGAGAAGGGACCGCAGTCCTTCCCAGAAGCCTGGCGCTACCAGTTCAAGGCGAGGTGATTCCCCTCGAGGACACAAGTGTTGCAGCGATAGGAACACCTTGTATCGATGAGACGAGCGGTGCAGCGGGCTTTCCCCGAAGGTGCTACCAGGTGAGTGCGGCGAACACCTTTACTCCTATCAGGCAAGGCGTCAGGCAGACGAGGCGGGACCAGTAGCAGAAGTTTGACTGTGCTCTTGCATCCTCTCAATGTTCCACCTACTTTGTCGCATACAATCCATTCCGAGCACTTGTGTCTGCATATCTACGGGCTCAGTGGCACATCGTAGCCACGTCGCGCAGTGGGTATCCATTCATCACATGTCTCGACAATGTAGTATTCTTCGCGTGGCCAATGCTCGTCTTCATATGCCCACGCATACGCTGTGGTATCTGGTAGCAGTCGCGATGCCTATTGAGCCACAGGTCGTGATTGTTTTCCCCACAGTCGGCGATGAGTTTATGGGTTGGAAGTGAGGGTGGGTATGATTGGAATATTAATGTATAAGGCCCCAAGCTTCTTATACACATGATCTCCTGAGAAGGTACTCCTTGGCATGCGCAGTGTTCCATGTGCCCTCGCTACCATCCCCTTCTAAAGGCATGTGGCCCCCAGGGTGCGAACACAACGAGCCCCCAAGGCGGGTCCCCAAGGCATTCCCGAGAGCCCTATTATGAACCGCCATGAGACAGGTTGGCTTGCGAAAGGGAGCTTTAAAGGCACAATGGTGAACGGTATGCTTTTCGACCCCCTGCTGGGACACGAGCTCTCCAGTGTTCTCTAGGTGCCAGGAACCACGAGCCTCAGCTGAACCTAGGGTTCGGCAGGGTGTCCGACGACGCTGTGAATCCCGTGCCGCCAGAACACCATGGCAAACTCAAGAGTGGTCCTCAAGAGCTTGTTGGCAAGAGAGAACTGAGCAGACTCCGTCACCGAAGCTCCCAGAGCGGAGACAAAAGTATGAAGGGCGGGGGTGGCCTGGACACGTGGGCTATTTCCCCCCCCTGGGAAGCGAGCTATGGACCGAGTCTCAAACGGGGGCACTTCTAGCACCCCTGCAACCCGCCCCGATTTGGCCTCCTCCTCCTCCTCCTCCTCCTCCTCCTCCTCCTCTCCTGTTGGGTCCGATCGGCTCTGTAGCTGCCAGTCGATGCGGCACACGCCTCCCCCTAGCTTCCCGGTGTCATGATCGACAAGGCGCTTAAGGCGGGCATATCTGTATGTCTTATAAGCGTCACTGGCTGAGCACGGGTGACTCTGACTGTGAGCATGAGCATGCGTGGCTATGTATGAGTGGGTATGCGTTTGAATCGGTTCGAACATGAACGAGTCGAAGCACAAGTGGGTCGTGAGTGAGCCAAAAGATGTATGTGTTTGAGTGTGCGTGAGCACGAGTATGAAGGATCCAGCACAAGCGACTGGGAACGATTGATTCCTGAAATGGGTGGGTTTACATGTGAATGAATACACATGTGTGCGTGAGAGTACTCACGGCTGACCCCGAGGAGTGACTGTGCTAGGCATGAATGCAAGTGGATGTGCGTTCGAGCGACAGTCATGACGAGCATGAGCGAAGCAGAGCAGAAGTGGCCGAATGTGAGCGAGTCTGGGCATGAGTGAATCTGTTCGTGACTGGCTGAGAGTGAACGAGTATGAACGTGCGTCTGAACATTACGAGTGCGCAGTGGAGCTCCGGGGCCAGGGCCGCGCGCGCGAGGCGTGCGCGGGGGCCTCCTCGCCTTCGCTTCCTCCCCCAGCGAGGACCCGTCTGACTTGAAGCGACTGGATACCCTGCGCCTGGGCGGGCAGCGGGAGAGAGGCAGAGGAGGAGGAGGCAGAGGAGGGCAGGGGATGGGGAGGGAGGGACCCTGCGAGCTGACAGCGTCTCTCCCCGCTCCGTGGGACGGGAGGCTTGGGAAAGCTCGGGACGTTGATGCCTGGGGACTTGGACGTGGTCAGCGTGTGTCGCCGAAGCGAGGTGGGCCAGGACTGGCGGCGCGACAAGCTCAGCCCAAGTTCCGGACCGTGCAGATACGACCATCCTCGCTTCGCCGACGACGACGACACAAGCGACCAGAAGAACCGCCTCTACCTCTGGTGGCACACGCACATACACACACACCGCGTCGGGACCTCTCCCGTGCCGGCGCCCCCAGCGGGCTCGAACATGAGGCTCGGGCCCCGTTTGTGGTGTGCGAGCGCTGGGCCTCGGCATCCGCCACCGTGCCCTCGGCACGCTGCAGCAGGCAAGCACGGCAAGACATCTCGCTGCAAGGAATCTTGCAGCTCATGCCTTGTAGACTCTGGGGGGCCCGAGAATGCCCCAGAGCTTCTACGGACCCCCAGGGCATGTTCTGTTATTTCGCCAGGGCTTTGGTCAGCAGGCTGACAGCCGCACGCCTCAGGCAACCAAGCGCGCCACGTTCTCGATGGCCTCGTCGTGAGCAACTGGCCTCCGCTTCGAATGACGAGGCGGGCTCCTGCACGAGAGTGCCAGCCGCGGACGCAGGGATCACAGCCTCCCGCGGGGCACCTGCTGGCGGGCCAGCTTCTTTGCCGTGCCTGACCGTAGGGGGTTTGCAAGCGCACGTGTTAGCGGTCAGGGATCGCACCCCCCCTCCTCCTCCTCCTCCTCCTCCTCCTCCTCCTCCTCCTCCTCCTCCTCCTCCTCCTCCTCCTCCTCCTCCTCCTCCATCTCCTCCTCCTCCTCCTGCAGCAGGCCCCAGGCCGAACTCTTTCCCCCGCTCGGGGCGCGCTTCGGCACCCGGGCGGGATCGCCCCAGGACGGCCGCGAGAGGCCACCGCCTCGCCGCCGCCAGCACAGCCACGGCCTCTCCGCCGCGGCCGCCGTCGCCTCTGCCTCGGCCCAGCGCGCTGACCACAGGCGTGCGCGCACTTTGCGCTGTCGCCCCGCTGTCTGGGCTTATCGCTGCAGGGACCTGTCGCCCCCTCGGGACGACACAGCACGACAAGATCTTTCGGACGTCCGCGCACGGCCTCTCCCCGCCGCCGCCGGACTCCCTCCGCGCGAAGATGGCCTTCGACATGCCAACTGCTTTTTCTGTCCTCCTCCCAGTTCCTGGCTCCTGGTTCCTGGTGGCTTGAGATCCCAGCGGGTGCAGCCTCCCCCCAAGGCCCCGTCGGCCCTGGAGGGTTGGTCAAACTAGAGCCAGGTGGCCCCTGGAGCATCGCTCCAGGGGTCGCGGGCGGTATCGGCAGACTTTACGTAACTGGGGGCACCGACAAACAAAAGCCGAAAGACGGAGGAGAAAAGGAGGAAAAGAGGCGCCACATCGTCCTCCTCCACCTCCTTTCCTTGACGCGGCGCCAACATGTCGAACTGCTGGGCGTTCGCCGGCAGGCTGGCGATCGCAACGCAAATCAGATATAGTCCTCCTCCTCCTCCTCCTCCTCCTCCTCCTCCTCCTCCTCCTCCTCCTCCCCCCAGATTGGCGCCCCGCCCTGTCCTGGGGCACGCCGGAGGCGGATCCAGCCGTGGCGACGAGGGCGCCTCCGGAGGCCCAAGGGGCAAGCAGGCTTCCAGAGGAACCGGCCCTCGACCGCTCGACGCTTCCCCGACTTCTCTCTCTCTCCTCTCCGGGGCCGGTCCTGGGGCATGTTCTGAGCAAGATCTCTAGGAGAATCCAGACGCGGCGGCGAGGACGCTCGTGGAGGCCCCCCCCCCCCCGAGAGGGGAAGACGTCTGGATCCTTCTCCTCCTCGTCTCCTTCCCGATGGAGCCCTCCAGAGGTCCCTGGATGCCCCTGGAGGTCCCCAGGGGCCCAGGAATATCCGAAGATATCCCAAGAGCTACTGACCCTCGAATCTCGATCCTCTCCCCATCCTGGTGGGAAGGGTAGGGATGCCATGGGCGGGCGGGGGAGGGTGATGAGGATTGGGGAGAGAGAGGGCCGAGCGAGGAAGGAGGGAGGAGGGGTAGGGAGTCAGCAGGAGCTCCCGCCCCCCGTTTGGGGATGAGTGGAAGGAGGAGGATCAGGGAGGAGCTGGCCGCGCCTTGAGCGCCCTGCGCAGCTGTGCCCCAGACCCAGGGCCAACCGATTGCACTCCCTTTTCGGGCCCTCTTGGCCCCCCTCGCCGCGCTCGCGGCCTGCCGTTGTAACTGCGTCTGGGAGCCGAGGCTTGACGTCAGCCCACGAACGCCCCAAGAGTTGGAAGGAGGGCCAGGGAAGAATGGAGTTGAGTTCGAACCTCGAACTTCGATCCCATAGCTGCCCCGATACGCAACACGCAACAAGTAGCGTTTTGGCACGGAGCTCAACACGTATACTGATAACGTTGGTCTGACGCGATACGTTCGCCAAAACGTGGGCCAATACGTTGAGCCAACACGCAACGTCTTGACACGGACGTTTTGAGCACGGTACGTGTGGCGTCCCAACGCGGGCGTGTCGAGGTAGCTAATTCCCTCCCTCGCGTAGATGACGACGACGAGGACGACGACCGCCTGGGCCTGCCGCTGCGCTGCCGCCGTGGGCCGACGTGGGGCGGCTGGGCCTGGAGACCGTGCTCGTCTGCCTCTCGAGGGCAGGTCGCAAGTCCAGGTCGACCCCTGGGTCGGGCAGCTCGTCCTCCTGGCGGATGCGGGGGACCCAACACCCAGAAAACTGCACATGCATCTCAACGTCCAGATCTGGCGTGTGAGTTCAAGAGAGCTTGGGTTGAGCTCGCTTAAGCTTCGCTCTGGAAGGGACGGGGGCGTGTCCCGCTTTCGGGGCGGGGGGTCCCTGGCTTCGGTCTGGAAGGGAGGGGCCGTGTGTCCCGCTTTCGGGGGGTGAGCTCTGGAACGGGACGGGGGGGGGGGGGGGGGACCCGCGTCCTGGCTTCGATCCCTGGAGGCGGGAGGGGGGGGGGGGCGGGGGTCGGGGCCGGGGCTGGGGCCTGGGGCGGGGACCAAGGCTGGGGGCGGGGGCCGAACCTGGGCCAGGGCCGGGGGCCACGGCCGGGGGCCAGGGCCGGGGCTGGGGCCCGGAGCCCGGGCTCAGGCTGGAATTCCCAAGCCTGACGACCCAACGGGCCAACCCGTCAGGGAAGTAGCCCGCCAACAAGCTCGACAGGCGGACAAGGCGCACATACTCCATTCAGCACATTCTGCCCCAGGGCGACTGCCAACACCCTCCTGCTCCTCCTGCTCCTCCTCCTCATTTTACCTCTGCTCCTTCTCCTCCCCCTCATCCTCCCTCCTGCCTCCTCGAGGTAAGGTTCACAAGCTATGAAACAGGACGAGTTCCCACGGAGCGCCCCGGAGCGTCCCAGATCGGCTGCACAGGCCAGAGACCTCCACAACAATCGTTCCAAGACGGCCTCTCAGACAGCCAGCCAAGACGGCCCAAGGTGGCCTCCAAGATGCCTCCAAGACGGCCAAGATGGCCCCCAGAGGGCCCAAGATGGCCCCAAGGATGCACCCAAGACGGCCGAAGATGCGCCCAGGACGCCCCAAGACGGCCTCAAGATGGCCCAAGACAGCCCAAGAGGCTTCCAAGGCGGTCCAGAAGGCTTCCAAGAGATACTCCAGCAAAACCTGAAGAGGCCAGCATTGTCAATGTCCTGCAGGTTTTTATTAAACGGACTTTGGCATTTACTTCTTTTCGGCATTCCTACGGCCCAAGACGGCAAACAGCCCCCCAAGATCGCCCAAGAGGCCTCCAAGATGACCCCATAACGGCCCAATGGGGCCCCCAAGACGGCCCAAGAGGCCTCCAAGACGCCCAAGATGGCCTGCCAAACGGCCCAAGATGGCCTCCTATATGCATCCAAGGCGGCCAACATGATCCCAAGAGAACCCAAGACGGCCCCAAGACGCCTCCAAGACGGCCCAAGATGCATCCAAGACGCTGCAAGACGGTCTCAAGATGGCCCAAGACAACCCAAGAGGCCCCCAAGAGGCTTCCAAGACGGCCAGAGAGGCCTCCAAGAGGCCCAAGCTCAAAGAGGCCAAAACCATTGATTTCCAACTGAATTTTTGAAGGATTTTGGCATTTACTTCTTTTCGGCCTTCCGACGGCCCAAGACGGCCGAAGAGGCATGGCCCCAAGACGGTCCAAGAGGCTCCCCAAACGGCCCCCAAGACGGCCCAAGAGGCCTCCAAGACACCCAAGGTGGCCTTCAAGACGGCCCTGACGCGCCCCAAGAGGGCCCCAAGACGGCCCAGAGAGGCTCCCAAGACGGCTTGCGACAGTGTCGGACGGGCCAGGAACGCAGTATGTCGGCCCAAGAGGCCCCCAAGAAGCCCCGAATGGTCCCCGAGAGGCCCAAGGAGGCCCCCAAGAAGCCTCCAAGAGGCCCCCAGGAAGCTCCCAGGAGGCCCCAAGAACGACCTAAGAAGCTCCCCCAAAGCCTCCTCATCCTTCTCCTCATCCTCCTTTTCCCTCCCTCTCTTCATCCTCCTCTTCCTCCCCCACGTGTTCACGTGTTCCCCGAAAAGCTTCCACAACGCCTAGGGGAACGCATGGTCCAATAGTGTGGCCAAACTTTGCTCAACCGTTTGGCCGCACAGGCGTATCCTCAAAGGTAGCGGGCGGCGGTGATTCGACTTAGGCGTCTTCGATCCGCCGCCCCCTGTGGCTTGTGTACGGCGTGCCAAAACGTTCTCCTTCTACTCCCGTCCTCCTCCTCCTCCTCCTCCTCCTCCTCCTCCCTCTCCTGATGCTCTCCCTCGTCCTTCCTCAAATGTTTCCCCTAGGGTTTACGCTACGGCTCGGGGAACGCACAGTCTGATACCTTGTCCAAGCTTTGCCCAAGACGTTCGGCCACATCGGCGCTTCCAAAAGGCAAGGGGCGGCGGTGATTCGCATTGGGCGTCTTCGATCCGCCGCAACCTGTTAATGTATCAACGGGGTGTCTGGCGTGCCAATTGTTTGACTGGCTAATCCTTGTCTTCAAATTTCGCAATCGGGTCTCGACCGACCCAGCCGGCCACCCAGAAAAGGTGGGGCAACTCGCCCGCCGTGGGTGTTCCCACGCAATGCGGCCCCAAGATGGCCTCCAAGACGGCTCAGACGACCCCAAGAGAGCCCGAGATGTCCCGATGTGGTTCCAAGACGACCCCAGATGCGCCCAATACGGCCTGGCCCACGACTGCCCTAGAGGCCCGCCAGGACGCAGGAGGCTAACACAGTTGATGTGCAATGATTGTAAAGAGTTCTCGCCACTTCGGGCTTCCAACGCTCCAGGACGGCCCCGTAGGCAGTCAGGATCGCCCCTGTGACGGCCCCAGAGAGGCCCGCAAGACAGCCCAAGACGGCCCAAGAGGACCCCAAAACGTTCCAATGGGGCCTCCTAAACGGCCCCCAAGACGGCAGTTGAGCGCCCAGAAGGGCACCTACGGCGGAGCAGAGAGGCCCCACAAGACGGCCTCCAAGAGACAAGACCCCTCAGGGGCCCCTAGAGGCCCCCAAGCAGCCCCAGGAGGCCGCCAACAGGACTATCAGAGGCCCCCAAGAGGCTCCCAGGATGCACCCCAGAGGGCCCCAAGCGGGCATGTAGAGGCCCCCTCTTCCTCCTCCTCCGCCTCGTCCTCCTCCTACCTCTCTTCCTCCTCCCTCTTCCTTCCCCCAGCGTTTCCCGAAGGGTTTCCACCACGGCTGGGGGAAAACTTGTTCCAACAGCTGGGCCAAACTTTAGCCCAACGTTTGGCCACATCGGCTCTTCCAGAACGGCAGGGGGCGGCGGTGATTCGCCGAATGTGCGCGGAGCTAGGGCGAGAGATGCATGAAACAACGCCCCGCCCTCTGTCCTTGTATTCTAGCTGGTGGAAACTGGTAAGGCGAATGTGCGCGGCGCTTGGGTTAGAGCAACACATGGGAAAGCACCTGCCATCCATCCTTGTATCAGTTGGAGTATGCTGAAAGATGAATGTGCGAGGCGCTGGGGCGAGAGCCACATGTTGAACTCGTTTCGCGGACACATGCGCGCGGCGCGAATGAGATAATCACATGTAAGAGCGTTTCGCCGTCGATCTGCGTAGCTGCTTGACGTTTCGAGCTTTAATCTCATATGTGGTGAGGAGGTCACAGGCGAAACGCTCGCCCCGCCTTGCCGACACGTCTGGCTGCGCGACGAGGTCACGAAGAGGGATTGAGGAGGGGTTGGAGGAAGATCATGGGGAGACGGGGTAGCAGTAGGAGGTGGGGGACGACTGCAAGGATGAGGACCGACTTTATCAAAAGAGGCGGAGAGAGGAGGGGGATGGGAGGGGGCCATGAGGGGAAGAACGACAGGATGACGAGCAACCGCCACCAAGGAGGAGGAGGAGGAAGAGGAGGAGGAGGAGGAGGAGGAGGAGGAGGAGGAGGAGGAGGAGGAGGAGGAGGAGGAGGAGGAGGAGGAGGAGGAGGAGGCTATGTTTGACTGCGGAAGCGGCGGTGGGCTCCTCCGCCCTCGACTCTCCAGCACTCCTGATGCCTGGCGCAGCTGGGGGCAGGGTGGGGGGGGCTGTCGCCGAGGTCGCCGCAGCCGCCGTCGTCGCCGTTGCTGACGGCCACCGGCTCTGCGCCCCTGGCGCTCGCCAGGGTGTGGGCTGAACCGGCAGGGTTGCGCGGGCGCCGCGGGCGGCCTGCGGCGGGGTCGCGACTGCCCGCGGCTGGCCGAGGGAGCGGCGGGCGTGGTGGCGGTGGAGAGGAGGAGGCGAGGCGGCCCATGGTCCACGGGCGGGGGGGAAGACGGGTGGATGGGACGTGCGCGGAGAGGGGGTGGGAGCCGGGCGGGGCTCGAGCGCGGCAGGATCGGAGGCGGGTGATGGAGTGGAGAGGAGC